CCCCAAAACCCCAAAACCCCAAAACCCCGAGAGGTAGGTTTATGGCTGGAAGATTACAAAGATATTTCAATAAACCTATACCTGCAGATTAATATCTAGGCTTGCACTTTTAGTCAAGAGTCTAAAGTATTCAGCCAAGTTTTGAGGAAGTAAAATGAGTCCTGAGCATGATTCGTATGCTAAGTGTATTTAAACAGGCCTTAAGGATCTTTAGGACTTGATTTTTACTGATGAAAAGTATTCACTTGCCTTGGTAGACGAGATAGCTTAGTTTTTAGCTAGCCCTGTTAGGCCTGTTTTTAGGAGCAAGAAGGAGCCTATTTTTAGTAAGGAGAGGCTTCGGTAAAGGTAATAACAACACAAGATTAATTGATGGTTAAAAAATATTATAATCTTGATTTAAATGGGATTTTTAGGAATTAGAGTTATAGCAATGAGAAAGCATTTTTATTCAGCAACCTTGTCACTTGGAGGATTATTTTGTGGATCATAGTTTTCAAACACTTTGTGATCGGAAGAGAAGGAATTTAGTGGTTTAATTTTGATGTTTGCAGACACTTCTTCAATTTTCTCGAGGTTCACTTATAGAATTATTATTTCAATAATTTTTTATCCTAATGGAAAGCAAAGGAAATTTTTCTAAAAAATGATATTTGTTAAAACCAAAGCCTACCTTGCTCTTTGACTTCCTCTGGAATTTCTTTGTTAGCAATATGATTAGGAGGCTCGTAAGGCCTAACTTTGGTCTCTTTCTTCTTATTCTTACAACACATAATAACTCTATATCCATAATTTACGACCAGGTTTAGACTCTCCCAAGAGTATGTGCAAAGAAGCTTATAAATATCAATTTTCGTTAAAATTATATATCTGAATATTTATTAACTAATAAATCGCATGGTGTTATTCATCTTTGTAGAATTTTATGAATTTCAATAAATCAGGGTAATTTTTACTCCAAACAGTAAAAAATTTAGTCAGATTACCTCCTAAAATTATACTCATAACGAAATCATTAAAATGAGGTTGCGCACCTTTCAGAGGCGGGCATAAATCTTTTATAATAGCTCAAACACATCAGTAATGAGAGAACTCCAACTACTAAAGGAATTTAAGTTAAATCTGATATATATTTCCTAAAATTTTTCTTCATCGGACAAACTTTCTTGTCAAGTTCAACGATTTTACAAAATATCTATCAAAAACGGTATGTCTCTAACAAAATTTCTTATCTGAAAATTATTTCTTAATTGCCAGAAAACAAAGAAAAGAAGCAAGCTTGGCTAAATAAAAATGAATAAAACTCTTATTGTGTATCCAATGTAGCTTCTTGGAATATTCATCCAAGTGAGTTGCTTTACTTGTAGTAAAGTTTTGCGGATTAGATTTCTTATAACTATAACCCAAAAGTCTTATTCTATACTTTTCTGACTGAAGTTAAGATCATGCCTTATTAAATCACAAGAAATCTTTTAGAAATTGTAGCGTACTCTATCAATTTAGTACTACTAAACCCCTAAACAGATAATAGCAAAATTTGCCTTAAAAAGTCTAAATAGGAATATGGCTTGTAAATTTTCTCCTCAGCTAAAGTTTGGCCCACTTCTTAAAAATAGGTTTCTCTCGGGCTCATTTAACTCATGCTTAATTCTTTGAGGTTATTAAGCATGTAAACACTAGGAATTGTACTAGACCTCCGATAAGAAATTTTAAGGATTAGTCAAGAGACTTTAGCAAGGATGACTGTGAAGATAAGGTGAATTACCTTTTGAGGTTATACATGTTGATAACAGAAGCAATAATGGAAGGCATCAAGAGAAGATATATGTATGTGTCTTGTACTGCAGCTGTCCAGTCTTCCTTGGTTGTCATGAAGAAGAAGGGAGTGATTAGGAAGGTGTATGTCAGTTGATTCATTCACTCGATTATGTTGTTACTTACTGTTTCAAAAGGACGTATCCAAACCATGTACACTGAGCAAAGGATATGAGTAAGCAAGAACAAAGAAGCACCAAGATAATAATTAACGAATGAGTCCCAAGATGATATCGCTTTGTTCTGACCATCTTTGGAAACAACTAGGATCAACACACTAGTTGACAGAAGCCTATATGAAAACCGGTTTATTTTAGCTGTACTAATTCTCAGAACTAATTTCTGAAATAGACTTACCTGGCAAGGATACAGTAATTATTTCCTTAAGCCTTAAAAGCTGCTATTAATATTCATAATCAAACAAAGCAGGAGCATTACTGTTAAATCAGTCTATAGGCAATACTAAAAGAATGCTTTCTTTTAAAACCATGAGTCATCTTGTTAAAAATGACCTAAAGGTTTCGAGGACAACATGGAGAATTGAAGAAATATAAAAAAGTGTTTGCTAAATAATTTACAGTTAGCTTATTATTTGCTTAATATGTTTCAGTCTTAATCTAAGGGCAGGGTTCAGCTATCTATTATTCTTGGACTAAAAATATCTAGAACCATTATAAATTATACCACAAATCTCTTGGCTCCCTCATTATGGGTTAATTGGCTTCTTCTCTGTAAAGACTATGTAGAAGAAGCTGGCACCTTTAGTATCCTTTAGGCCAGATCTGAGCTCTTGTACAGCCCAGTGATGATAGAGCTTAGAGGTAATATTTTCCCTAAAAAAATTAGCAAAAACTTACAGTCTTGAACAATAGAAGGCAATAATTAAGCAAAAGAAGACTAATTGGCAGAGCAAGAACAAGAAGCAGACTCATAAGGATACTGAAGAGCTCACGTTGTCTGTTTTGAATCTCTCTAGTTCTGAGAAGATTGAGATAACCATAAACACGAATTTCTCCAGTACAAATCTGATATAAACGCTAAACGTAAAATACTTAAAAAGATTCTCCACTAATTTGCTTCATTTATTAGGCTCCCTTCTGCTCCTCCTCTGACAGCAATAAAACAGACAGATGGTGCCATGCAGTGTCATTATTGATAGGATTACGCACAAGTTTGGGAGGTTATGAATAATTGGTAACTGTGCTCCTTGACTTGAGTCCGATTTCTTCGAGATAGCTATCATCTTGAGGATCAGATATTATTGTTTGGGTATCTTTGATAACAGGAAGTTCATAAGTTGGAATAAAATTGAAAGACATAGCAGAGAAATCCATCCCAAGAATAAAATCTCCAACTTTTGCAGGGAAATATGGAGGGAGTAGAGGCAGTAAAATATAGAGCTGAAATTGATTTACCATACTAAAAATCCCTACAGGTGAGCTCATTGTTACTAAAGATGTAAATACAGCCAGAGCAATACTTGTACCCATTATAACTTTTGCAGAAGTAGAATATGCTTCTGCTGATTCTCTTTCTCATTGGCGTGTTGACTCGTTTAATGAATAGCCTACGTTGCACTCATCTCATTTTTGAGGATCATCTTTTTGTCATACATTTCAATTATCAAGATCTCATTGTTTTATTGTCAGATAGAAATTTTTGGTAACACTCTCTGCTTGATAATTAATAAGGATTGAGAACTTATATAAAGTATCTTTATCACTGTCAGGTGTTTTGTTCAGATACAACAATTGCTCAGCAAAATCTATATGTACCCAATTTGGTACTGATTCTCCATCAAGTTGAGTAACAGCAAAGCTCATTGATGAAGAATCATCCTGGTAAGTTCATCCGAGACTTATTTCCTCTTCGATGTAATTATTTGCAATGAATGATTTAACATAATCTTCTTTGTTTATATAAGCCAAATAATCAGGAGCATAATCAGAGGTTACTTCAGTAGTGATTGTAAGAGTTGAGGGATCTTCCACAGTCATTGAAGGAGTGAGAGAATTCATGGCTGGAAGATCTGACGGAAAGCTCTCAACAACTCCTTCTGTAGTGATTGTAGAGAAAATTGAAGATCTTTCTGTAAAATAACTAAGTCTTCCTATATCCCCTACTGGTGTCCTGATCATTCTATGAACCATAGAAATTTGCCCTCCAATCACGAGGACTTCCTGCCCACTTACGATGATTTTTTGAGAAGCACGAGTGGTTATACCAGACTGGAGAAATTCCTTTTTCACAGTAGACTTTTCTTTGTCGATAACCGTTATTGAAGATATAGTGTTTGTAGTATCTTCCAGGATTAGGACTATATTGCTTCCTTCAACCTCTTCAATATCATTGCAATAATTAGCAAATCCAGAAGCAATAAGGCCAGAATTCTTTGGTTCTCCAGTGGCAAGATCAAGAACATGAAATAGTACTCTATTTCCAAAGGAGCTAGCCACATATAAAAACCCTCCATCGCTACTGATAGCGGAGTCACTTCTATCAAGAGATCAGTCAGTCGTACATTGTGTGTACTTTGACCAATTAAAAGAATTTGAAGAAAAGTTGAGTAATGTATAGTAGAGGTTTGAAGAGCCTGTTCTCATCATGTTCATAAAAACCAAGTCTGAATTAATTGGTTTAAAATTAATAGAATTAGAGGTCTGCCCGTAGTTTAGACAAGTCATCTGGGTCTCTGTTCTCTTCCATTTACAGACACTCCAATAATCAGCAGTGTCTAGGACAATATCCATGTATACCACAGCAGGATCTGAAGAGTCATCACCAGCTGTATAAGGTGAACCTATGTCTCTGTAGTTCTTGTCAGGAATTGAGAGAAAAGCGGTAATGGAGAGGTCAGTAGAGTTGAACTCCATAAAATATTTTTGAATACCGAAGAGGATGTACAAGTAGTCTCCATTTTGGCTAATTCCTTTCTCCTTATTTGGTGGATCGGCCTTGATAGATTTCATTACAATCGTATTTATCTCAAAATCAGTCATTAGGATATCTGTGTATATCGAGTTAGTCCCATTATTCTTGTGCTGAGCCATGAAATAGAGATAATTCAAAGAAGGATGTGACAATACACCCCATATCAAATTCTGAGTAGTGAATTGGTTATCAATTCTCCTCGAAAAGGGAACCTTCGCAGTTTCCAAAGGGTCTACTCATATCTTCATCCGTCAAAAACTAATTCAAATCCAAATTAAGATAATCTCCGATAACATATTTAACATTCTAATTATATAACTCTTCCACCAAAATTATTTATTCCGGGGTTTTGGGGTTTTGGGGTTTTGGGG